CAGGAAAACTGGAGTGGTGGGTGCTGTACCAGAAGCCAGGGTGAGGGTTTGAAGGCCATGAGCAGTCAATCAGAGTGAATGGATTCCCGTGTAAAGTGAGTTTTCCAGAAGGGTGTTCGTTACTTGTACTCTGAGACTTGTAGCAGTAGGCCATCCCAGAAAAGGACAGAACTTCATAGGAATGATGACTTCCGCGGATTTAGTTGAGTCCGAAACAAGAAGTCAGACTGGGATGTGGTATATACTTGGACAGATGGTTCTTTGCAGTCCAGCCTGTTCCCCACCAGGATCTCTACTTCCTTGTATTTTTTTTTAAGATTTATTTTATTTATTTGAAAGAGTTCAGAGAGAGGTAGAGACAGAGAGAGAGGTCTTCCATCTGCTGGTTCACTCCCCAGATGGCCGCAATGGCTGGAGCTGCGCCGATCCAAAGCCAGAAGCCAGGAGCCAGGAGCTTCTGCCAGGTCTCCCACACAGGTGTAGGGGCTCAAGGACTTGGGCCATCTTCTACTGCTTTCCCAGGCCATAGCAGAGAGCTGGATCATCTACCTCCTTGTATTTATATTGACTGACACACCACCCTCCTACCCAGGCCCCACATGACATGACCCAGAAGAAACAAGCCAACTCTTGGGTGCCGTCTTTGCTCACTTGGAGTATGAAGAACGTTCATTCATTCATTTGTTCATTTATCCATTCATTCATTCATTCTCTCAGGAACAGGCCCAGACCCCAGACTGTCTTTCACCGCACCAAGTTCTGGCCCAGGGAGAATCTGGCCATGGACAAGTGTGGCATCAAGGAGTGATAAAGTGTTGTGAGAGAGGGGCACACAGAATTTTCTGGAATGTGTTGTCCTTAAACCATCAGAGCTCACTTTGCTAGAGAGAAGCAGACACAGGACAGAGACACGAATTCTTTCAGGACAACCTATCCAACAGGTTTCAAGTGCTGTTGAAAACTTGCTCCTGGACAGACCTCATCAAGACACTACAAGGGACATTGAAACGTATTCCAGGACTGGGGAAGTCCTAGCTTCCAAGTTAGAAAATGGGCTTGTTTTCATCGTCTCAAGCAGTAGAGCAAGTAGTATTCAGTTGTGCTGGTCTGGATTGGCTGCTGACTACTGGTCTTTTATTTATAGCCTTTGAGGCTGAATGTGTTTTGGAAATGAGATATTTTAGGACTTCAGATACATAATAAGGCACCTATGGTATTCCATACACTATGTTTATGCCGATCAAGGAAGATACTAGTAATTCTGCTGTAGTTTGTGTGTCTGTATCACGTACGTATGATACAAAGCCTTATGTGACTTCAAGTCAGCTTTTGGAAACAGGTGAATCAGCAAGAAACTGAATTTCAGGGTCTTAAATTTTTTTTTCTGGGGTGAGCATTATGGGACAGTCCACATCCCATAGGAGAGTGCCTACGATCCAGTCGCTTCTGTTTCTGATACAGTTTCCTGCTAATGTGCTTGGAAGGCAGCAGATTATGGCTCAAGTACTTGGGTTCCTATCTCACACATGGGAGACCTAGCAGGAGTTCCTGGCTCCTGATTTCAGCTTGGCCCAGCCGCAGGTGCTGTGGCCATTTGGGGAGTGAACCAGTGAATGGAAGCTCTCTCTGCCTGTCTGTTGTCTGCCTCTGTGTCACTCTGCCTTTCAAATAATGAAACTTGAAACCATTTCTGAATTGAAATAAGGAATGAGAAGCCAGCAAACACAATGGTCTTTAATAGAAGCTTATGGTGTGGGTTCTCTTAGACACTCACATTAACACAACTAAGAGTATAAAGTTTTTAAGAAATCCTGAATGCATTATGCAGTCGATAAATGTCTCACAAGTTTAGAGAAGGGAGAAGGACTTCTCCCATGTGTTGTCAAGATCTGAGAGAGCAAGTGGGCAGGAGGAGCATCTGTATGGCAGAGGCATGGCTGTGAGAGAGGTCATCATGGCTCAGCCTTCCAGGCCAAGCCACCAGAGCAAGGAAGGGCTGCAACACAGCGCTTTGTGCATTTGAGTGAGAAAATGACTCAAAGTGACTATTTCATGTGACCAATATTGATGCACAATTCAGTTGTTATTTTTTGGAGAATCTTTTATGTTTTGGTAAAATGGGAAATTGGTTAAATTTATTTTTCAAAATATTATTTCTGTCTCATGAATAATGATGTGACTTTTCACCCATTACCTTTAGAAAAACTGTTGCTATTGGATGGGACTTTCTTTGATGTGAAGATTTGAGAAAGTCTTATTCAATAAAAACTTTCAAGGAAAATCTGGCAATATTTAGATCCACGGTTCCCCACATCAGTTGTGATCTGGGACACATGGATCAGGGAGAGGGAGAAGGGAGCTTTTAGAAATTTGCTAATTTTTGGCTCCCACCCCCAAAGATTCTGGTACAATTGGTCTGTGGTACACCTGGGCAGAGATTTTTAAAGCATGGTGAGTCTGATGGTTAAAGCCACTGGTTTTGATGAATTAATTCTTGGCGTAAATTGCACAAAGGGCAGGTAAAGTCAATATTTAGCTAAATCATTTTCAAAATTTACAATGAAAACTTGGTCTGAAATTAAAATAAAAATCACATAGCGATGAAAGTCTTTTGCTAAGTGTATACTTTTAAACCAGATGCTAGTCTTTACACCACTTTCTATCCATTTCATCAGAACAGCATGCGCTCACCTGCGAATGTGAGCGCCTCCAGTGCATGTACACATGTGGGCTTATTAAAACCTAGAGCCTGCTCTCCTCCCGCATAATTTCCATATATGGCATTGAGTCAGAGGCACAAAAGGGAGACAGCTTCTACAGCTTACTGCATTCCAAAGAACAGTGGCTGGAAAAGCCACGGTGACCCTGAAGTGACCTTGTAGAAGCCACAGACGTCAGTGATTTTCCGAAGGTTCACACCATTCCACAATGATAGAGCCTGTCTGGACCTGAGAGTCTGGACCGTGATTCCAGACTGTTCTCATGCTCCTGCCTTGTCTGCCTTCTTATAAACTGGCTTGAGAATGGTGACGGCCGTTGGAAACAGAAGCAAAAGGATAAACTAAACTCTCAGACTTTAGACATGCTACGCTACGGTACTTCTGCACAACAGTGGGATTCTTCAAGAAGCTACAAAACAGATGTGGCACCAAACTGCTCTGCTAGGTGCAAGATAAGATGATCTTAGTTGATGAATATTCTATAGTGCATCACATCTGCCAGGATGTGGTGTATCAGGTATCAATGGATAAAATCGACTCGGAAATGTTTTCTCTAAGGCCAAGTTCAGAGGAAAATAAATCATGCTTCCAGAATCAACATTCATTTCAGATAGTAAGCAGTTGATGTGTTTTCCACAGCCATCAAAAATAATAGGCGGCTGTAAATCCTCAGAAGTTGATAAGGATGCAGGAAACTTTAGAAGCAAGATCCAATTTCCTTGAGAAAAATGGATGCCAGTCCTTTCACATGCAGGTCAACTGCACATTTGTAGCTTTTATTAGCATTGCTAAGTCAAAGCAGAATGATACTTGCTGGCGGCTGGCATGGACGACCCACATTTGAGCTTTATTCCTATGTGATGATATATGTCAGAATCCAGAAATGAAGCTTTTAAGAGGCATAGTGTTTGTGTGAGACCCTACCGAAATGACACCATTCAGTTGAATCTAAGCGAGTGAAAACCTTCTGATCTGATGTCATGATACAGGCCTGTCTAGGACTGAAATATCATTGAGCAATTATTTATTTCTCTATCAGTTATTTAGTCTAAAAAATCGAAGTCACTTGAAAGCTTTGGAGTTCATTAATTAGTTCTTTACCTCCTTATTGAGGGCCCAGACCCCAGTCCCTGATTTCCATGGTGTTGTCAGCTGCGTTCCTGCAGACGAAAGTTCACACAGGTTCTGCTCTATTGATATTAAATATTGTGAAAAGAATATTGAATAAAATTATGTTAAATATTATAAATAATATTAAATATTATTTTCACCAACATTAAAGAAACCCATGTATAAACTATAACATGGATGGGTGTAGAGTAAAAGAAGGATACCTTTGTTTATTGCAGGGGTGTCCAGAGTCCTGCATGGTGTTGGGAGGAGCACCAGCCTTGCAAATTAAGGATTTCGTATCACATTTTGCCCTTATCCATTGTCTGAGAAATGGGACAATAGGAGTCTCAATCATTGGAAAGATTGAAAGAACTTGTAATATTTACAAAAGTTATTTTTACTTTTAATTAGTGAACTCCTTCAAGTTCTAGTCATAATTTTTTTTCTGGACCAAAAAGAACTGTAACCTCCTAGTGGAAGGTGTTAAATTAATAGCGAGGCTTGTGCCCTCTCTAAGTAGTGACATAAGCCTTTGCAGCTCAGTTAGCAATATCTACTCTGCAGTGCTTTTCCTTCAGTCTTTTAAATGACAAGCGTGCTTCCAGCATCAACTCTAACAAGCAGGGGTTGAAAAACAGCCTGTCCCAAAAAAGCAGAAGTCATTGACAATAATCGAGCAGGGTTTCCTCCATTGGTACACTCCGTGTCGCTGGCAGATCTGCTTCTAATCCTCTGAAAAGTCCTGTCTGTATTGGTGATTTCCATTTGTAGCACACAAATGTCCAGCTCATTCTTTCAGAATCTTTCAAGTCCCTGCAACTTTCCATGTCACCGAATCTTTCAATGTTTGTTGCAACTCTTGGCTTCATTTTTGACTAATAGATCCTACCTTCACCTCCAAAACTAGTAAAAAAAAAAAAACAAAAACAAACAAACAAAAAACCTGTTCTATTTCCTCTAAGGGATAGAGTCTTGAGCTACCACATCTTGGCATGACAATATGCAGACTCTGATCTCAGCAGATAACGTTCCTGCCCCGGTACCCGCCTTCGGATTTTGCCACTGCAGACTGAGAAGAGGCTCTTGCATCCTCAGGTTGGGGGGCGGAGTGGGGCAGGTGTTCAGCAGTGGACTAACGTGGCCCTCTCTGCTTGTTGTCTCTCACAGCCACACCCCTGAGCTCCCTGAAGCCCCCGCGGGTGGACACTGCTCCAGTGGTCGCATCTCCCTATCAAAGAAGAGATTCAGACAGATACTGTGGGCTTTGTGCAGCCTGGTTTAATAACCCTCTCATGGCCCAGCAGCACTACGATGGCAAGAAACACAAAAAGAATGCAGCCCGGGTGGCTTTGTTAGAGCAGCTTGGGACAACCCTGGATATGGGAGAACTAAGAGGTAAGACCGGCTCTCGTCATTTCTGCCGTGAAACAGGGCTTCCAGGACAACGGTAGCGCTATTGCACAGAGGAGTCTTTCCTCTCCCTGTGTTAATTAGTAAGGAAAGGAGACGCTCCCCCAGAAGAAACAGAAAGAGAAGGACGTGAGCAGAAAACCAGCTTGCGCTTAATTTTTGTGAGCTCCCTTGTTTCACTCAATGCATTTATTTCTAGATTTTTTATTGGCATTTTCCAATCAAGGACATTCACCCATGAACCGGGTAGCTTTTCCTTCTGCTTGATCCCGAAATGCCTTCTCTACTGATTGTTTTTGTCAATACGCAGTGTGAAAAAAAAAAAAAAAAGATGCTGAGAAGGCCAAATTGCCTTATCTTATTTTCAACTATCGCGCTTTTAATAAGCTCAGCCAAAACAAAGCAACAAATGGAATCCGTCTAGTGACTGAAAGCAAGTCCATGTTTCTTTAGTGGAAATAGCCAGGAAGCCGAGGTGCGTGGTGCTGTGTGGCGCTGCGGAGTTAGCAGCTGGCTCCCCACCCGTCCCCTCCCTCTCCTCCGAGGTTTTCCTTTGACTGTTGGAAGCCACGTGGCATTTGCCGTTGCGACATTTGAAGTTTGTTTGAGATTTCGGAAGCTGCTCAGGAGACTTGGGAAGTGTGTGTGGGATGAGACTCAGTCCTGGGAGTGCCTTGGGAAGCCCGGGTTTGAATTGTGAGTTTCCTGGGCTGTTCCATCAACAGTGTGTTTTTAATGAACTAGACGTTGTTGACCAGTTTGATGCTGGCAGCTCAGAGTCGAATGCATACTCGCTTTCTCTGAAGAAGTGTTTCTGCAGAGAACCACTGATGCTCTGCTCAGATGTGGTGTGGCTTGGATAGGCTCTTATGGGCTGCACAGAAAATCATTACTCCCAACAGCTGCAGGCTATAAATAACCCAGTTTGCAAATAAATTCTGACGCACAGCCTGGGTTTAAAATGGGTTCTGCGGATTGAGCTTTGTTCCACCTGTGGACCTCCAAGAGGGGCAGTTAGAATAGATGACCTGCTAGGATTCTGGACCAGGAAAGGGAGATGGAAGATCGGGTTCCGTGAGCTGGGAGCAGACAGAGCTGTCTTCTGAATAGGGTGGTTGGGGAAGACTTCATCAAGGAAGACCCGGTGAGGTGGAGCAAGAAACATGAGCCGCATTTTAGCAGGTGAGCATGCATTTCATGGAAACGGAATAAAACACAAGAGACCTTCAAAGACTTTACCCGATAAGTCTGTCCTGAAAACAAAACAAAACAAAACCTGCATGGATTTCAAAATTGGGGGCACCGAAATGAACTTATTTTTTTAATCACATTTTTCCATGAAATGTTTTGGAGCCTCCTCATCTGTTTGACAAAGAAGCAGGGAAGGCCAGTGGCAGACAGCTGACAAACAGGTCCCTGACAAAGAATCCTACAGCTTAGATTTCAGATTGGCATCCGTGGATGCATCTAGAGAGCTTTACTAGGGGCTGTTTTTTTTCCCCCAAGATATGTAATTTAAAATGCGGTATGAGAAGGAAACGCTAAAACCCCTTTGCTTTGGTGTAGATGTTCTAGCCCTGGAAAATAAGAGAGCTTGACACCCCAGTGGGTCAGAGTCTCTCACCGCGAAAGGTATTGAGCCAGGGGTACCAGTGGTTTTTGGTGGGGCGTTCCTTCTGTTCTCAGTCTAGGTCTTGTGAAAGAAAAAATAAAATGGAAAAGGTGTCTCTCTGTAGCTGAGGGCCTGCCCGCAACCCTGCTGTTCCTAGCAGATAACAAGTTGGCTCAGTGGCTTTTTCACAGCAAGGCACTGAAGGAGAAAAATAGGGCTTTATTTATGTTTTGTGCCAGATATTATGACTTGGAGAAGAATTATTCCCAGAGCACATTCTCCTTGTCGCTTTTGAATTATCAGTGTTGCATCTTTTATGTTCAACCACATCTTAATGACTCGGGCGGCGGGATTCTGTAACATCTGAGCAGCTCCGTCTCTTTCAGACCCAAGACAGAAAGCCTGCTCTTTGACTTGCTAACTCAATGTGCCTGTGACTCAGTAGCATGGGGAATGCGATTAGCATTGAACTGCGTGTCCTTGAAACCAACCTTTTCACCCATCCCAGCGACAACTGATGTGTGCTTATTTATTCAGGCAGTAAATATCGCAAAAGCTGCAAGTTGAAAGCAACTATGGTAACCAGTACTTTTTAAAACACACACACACACACACCCCTATTTCAAGAATGTTTCTAATGCATGATTAATCCATCCATAAAGGCAAAAGTGTAAATCAGTTAAAAATGGCCATATTCTTTTTTTTTTTCAAAGATTTATGTATTTATTTGAAAATCAGAGTTACACAGAGAGAGGAGAGGCAGAGAGAGAGAGAGAGAGAGAGAGAGGTCTTCCATCCTCTCTTCCGATGGTTTACTCCCCAATTGGTCACAAGGGCTGAAGTGAGCTGACCTGAAGCCAGGAGCCAGGAGCTTCTTCCAGGTCTCCCATGTTAGTACAGGAGCCAAGGACTTGAGCCATCTTCTGCTGCTTTCCCAGGTCACAGTAGAGAGCTGGATCAGAAGTGGAACAGCCGGGACTTGAACTGGCGTCCATGTGGGATGCTGGTGCTGCAGGCAGTGGTTTTACCCGCTACGCCACAGCGCCGGCCCCCATCATTTCATTCCTAAAGGGATCTTGATTGAATATTTTTGACCAGAAATTATTCTATCCTTGAATTCTAATTTTTAAAAGCCTACGTGTCTTTTCCATGTAGAGAAATGCAGGGCTCTGAGTGCTGTTGTGTGAGTTTTCGCAAGGCAAATGCCCGTGTAAACCACGCCCCTCTTAAGATGTGTAACTTCTCCACTGGGTTCCCTCCCCTTGCCAATCTCAGTTTACCACTCTGGGGGCCGTTTTTAGGATTTGTTTTCTACCGCCGATGAGTTGGGCCTGTTCTAAACCTTCATGTCAGAATCACCAAGTATGTATTTTCTGCATGTGTGGCTTTTTTGGATAATGTAATGTTTTTGAAATCTGTCTTTTTATAGGATGTAGTGGTTTTCTTTTTTTAATGACTGAGTGGAATTCTGCTAACAGCAATCTCACAGTTTGTCTGCCCATTCTCCTCTTGTACAAGTGTTTTGCTTTTCTTTTGAGTGACATATGTTTTACTTTTCTCAGTAAATATCTCGTAGACTTGCTAGGTCATAAATTATGTGTATTTTTAACTGTGTAAAAAACTACCAAACTCCAAAGTAACTGAACTATTTTAGATTCCACTAAACAACCTGTAAGATTCCATAGTCTCAGCAACATGTATGTGTCAATCTTTTAGAATTTTAGCCACTTTAGTTGGTTTGAGGGAGTGTTTCATGATGGATTTCTTTTAAAGATTTATTCATTTATTTGAGAGGCAGAGTTAGAGACAGAGAGAGGGAGAGACAGGGAGAAAGGTCCTCCATTGCTGGGTCACTCCCCAGATGGCCACAAAGGCAGGAGCTGGGCTGATCCGAAGCCAGGAGCCAGGAGCTTCCTCAGGGTCTCCCATGTGATACAGGAGCCCAAGCACTCGGGCCATCATCCACTGCTCTCCCAGGTACTAGCAGAGAACTGGATTGTAAGAGGAGCAACCCAGAGAGGAACTGACACCCTTATAGGATGCCTTGGTGGATTTAATTGCTTTGCCACATTGACTAACAATGAGAAGTAATTTTTAAATGGGCTTATTGATATTTATTTACTTCTTTTGCAAAGTCTTTGTTGATGCATATTCTTCACTTTTTAAAAATTTAGCTGTTTCCTTTTTAATATGAATTGAATAGGCAGAAGGTCTTCATACATTATGGATACACATCTTACATCAGATGCAGGGTTCTTTCATCCTGGACTGTGACTGGACTTTGTTTTGTTCAGTGTATCTGTGAAAAAACAGACATTCTGAAACTGTTGGAGTTCAATTTATATTTCTTTATGGTATAATCATTGCTTTTTGTGTCCCATCTAAAACATTTTCACTTATACCCATGCTTAAAGATACTCCTGCATGTCTTCTATAAGCTTTGTAGTTTTTGGTTTTATATCTAGGATTATGACACACGTATCTCAAATGAATTTATGTATATGGTGTGAGGTAAGGGTTGAAAGTTATTTTTGTATATTTGCACAATTTACAACAGAAAATTTGTTGGGGGCATTTACTTTTCCTCATGGGATTGCTTTGAACTACCTTCATTGGGAATCTATTATTTATGTGTATGTGGAGAGGGTCCATTTCTGGACATTCTATGATGTTCTGTGAATCTCTTTGTCTATTTTTATACCAGTGCCACACTGCATTGGTTTTTTTAATTGAAGAAGTCTTGAAGTGATGTACTGCCAGTTTTTCAGTTTGGTTCATATTTCTAAGATTGTTTGGCTGTTCTAAATCCTTTGCACTTCTGTGTATTTTAGATTCATCTCATCAATCTATACATAGAAACTTGTTGGAATTTTGAATGGAATTGAGTTCAATGCATAGATTAGTTTGGAAGTCTTCTAATCCATGAACATCCTATATCTCTATATGATGTTTCTTTAAATTCCATCAGCATAAATGTTTTGTACATTATTTATTAAATTTATCCACAAATATTTTGTATTTTTAAATTTCATTTTTATATATTACTGACACATAAAATTGATTTTTCTATATTGACCTGGTAATTTAATAGTATAAATGATTTGTATCTTTCAAAATTTTATTTTTCTGTTTCCATTATGAAGTTATTGGAAACTACAGAATCATGTTCTTCTTACCATCTTTTTTTTCAAATGGAAGATAGAATTTTTAAAGAGGAAATTATTCTTGTAGCTTAATAAAGAATCACAAACAGGAATAATCTAAATAGTTATTAATATGTATACTTTGGTTACTGACTCAATCTAAGTGTTACTTGTTCCAGAAAACTGATGATATGATATTCCAAGTTTTAATTTAATAAGGAAAACAGTCT